TGCCCTAATGGTCTAGCGGTATGATTCCTGCTTCGGGTGCAGGAGGTCCCGGGTTCGATCCCCGGTTGGGGCCGCACTATTTTATATTTTTGGCTTCTTTCGCGTTGGATTTGCTACTCACCTCCTTTTTAATCCAATGAGGTTCCCTGAACTTGGCGGTCTCTGGAGAAGTGGGTGACAGCTCACCCACTAGATTGGGGACGGCGAGTTGCATGACAAGCTGCCTTACCTGGCAAACTACCGTTCCCTTTTTATCTCAAACAATGCATCATCTCACAAGTAGATAGAGCTTGTTTGATCTTACACAATAAACTCACGTTTGCTTTCCTTTTCCCATCTCCTGCTCAGTCATCTCCTCTTCTTGACGCCCTGTATCGCATCAGGTTATGCGCCCAACGCAATACGTTGTCAAGGAGGCCATCAAGCTGAACGCTAACGCTGAACTAACCCGAAAGGTCCGACCATGTCGAACAGATGATCTGCCAGCAAAAGCTCCGCAAGTACTTGACGTCGAGTACCCGATTCCAAGGCTATGACGAAGACGAAGACTACGTGGCTAAATCCTACATCAACTTGTCCAACCACCGCGACAACCTCAAATACATCAAGGAAACCGACCTCGAGAAGGCGCGGCTGTCCATCGTCCACACGAACCTCGCCTGGCGCCGCTTAAAGGAAGCCCACGAGAAGACCACCATTATTAACAAGATGCTGCTCCATCGCGAGCTCTCGACCCTGACATGGAAGCCCATTGAGACGTGCGCCACATTCGTCCACCGATTCCAAGAATGCGTCCGCAAGTTTTTTTAAGCTGGCAACATGACCCCCGAAGCCGACCGCATCGTCGAGTTCCTCTACCTATTACCATCGAGCTTTGAAGCCAAGGTCGACTCAATCCTCGAGCGCATTGCCAAGCAAGACTCCGAATACTGCTCCTTGATCGGCGTGATAAAGTCCGTCGAAATTGCCGCCGATTGGATCGCCCACATGTCCAAGACCAACGCCAGCGCGTCCAAAGTTCGTGGCACGGACGCAGCCTATAACACAGAGTTCGGTGAAATATTCTGCACATACTGCGAATGGAAAGGCCACGACCTCATCGAGTGCCGCAACAAGAAACGCGATGAAGCCAACGCCAGCCAACGACAAAAACGCCGCAGCAATCCATAGAGCGGCGACAACATGCCCGGTTTCCAACGGGATTTCCACCCGCACGGTCCACGTACTCACGGCCATGGTAGTCATCGCCGTAGCAGTCATGGTCGCGGTGGTTGCCGCGATCAAGTCAATTACGCGCATACGTACGATCGCTACGAGTATGCCGATTTGTTCACGGTCGAAGAAGTCGCATGCACCACGTACGTCGACGTGGTTGATCCCTTTAACGTGTGCTACTCGGCCATGGACGACTCGGCCAACGATGACGGATGAACTTATATGGATCGACAATCGCAAGCCTGGGAGCTCGTGGACGACGTAAAGGAAGCGTACCTCACGGTCATGGAAGCTACACTGCCGCCGACGCCGCTTGCTACCAAATGGAAGACGGACCAAACACTGACGCAGTTCGTTGACGATATTGACGCCGAACTCGAATACGTGTTCAACCAAATGGACCTCGCAGCCGCATGCAGCGACTACCAAGCCAACCACGTCGACAGCGCCGCGCCGAGCCACCTCCAAGATCCGTCCTTCATCATGGACAGCGGCGCCTCATCGCACATACCGGCGATCTCTCATTGCTCCATGACGTCAAAGAATGTCACCGCAGAGTCAACTTGGCCGACGGCCACACGATATCGGTCAAGGCCAAGGGCCAGCTCCGCGTCCAATCCAACACAACGGGCAAGACAGCTGTTTTCCAAGACACCCTGCACGTGCCGACGCTCCGCAAGACGCTACCATCCATCTCGCAGCTCACGCGTGCAAACCCGCGCGCTCAAGTGGTCTTCCACGGCAACACCATGGACATCATGATCGGCCCAGACGTCTCGATCCAAGCCGCTACCACAAATAGCTTGTACGAATTGGACGCCAGCGTGCTGCTGCCGTCGACTCCCGACGTCGGGTCTGTGTCATATGTGGTACAGTATCTCTACTGCAAGGATGCCCTCCATGACATGGGCTTCGAAGAAACCAACACCGACCCATGTGTATTCCACCGCCGCATCGACGACGAAGTCCAAATCATCACGATGTACGTCGACGATTTTCTCGTATGTGCTTCCACCAAGACCGCGGTCGAATGCATCATCGGCGAGATGCAACGCTATATGCGCCTAATTGATCTTGGCCCCGTCCGCCGCATCCTTGGCATGGAAGTCGAGCGCAATCATACCGCCAAGACTTTCTCGATCTCGTAGTCTGTCTACATCACCGAAATCGCCAAGCGTTTTGGCCTCGAAGGAGCGTTTCCCGTTGATACACCAATCCCGGCCGGCACGGACCTCGCCTCGAAGGACTCACCGCTCTTGCTACCTGGAAACGAGTACCAATCCATTGTTGGCTCGATACTATATTACTCGATCATGACTCGCCCCGATATCACACATGCTGTTTCCCAAGCCGCGCCAAGTGCACTTGTCGATGGCCAAGCCGATCATCCGCTACCTCAATGGCACTCCAACCTTGGGCCTCATGTACCAGAGCCTCGTTGGCTACTTGGACGCAAGCTGGGGCGACGACCGTGGCACGGGCCGCTCCACTTCTGGCTTTCTCTGGATGCTCGGTGGTGGTCCCATTGCATGGAAGTCGAAGCTTCAAGGTCTTGTCACGCTCTCAACCGCGGAAGCAGAGTACGTCGGTGCCTGCGTTGCTGCCCAACACGGAGCCTTCCTCCAAAACCTGCTCCACGAGATTCAAGGACAACTCCCCAAGGCATCATTGCTCTACCTCGACAACCAAAGCGCGATCCATATTGCGTCCAACACCGGCAGCATGCAACGGACCAAGCATCTCGCCATGAGATTCTACTAACGTAAATGACCAATTTATGATCACTTTTTCGAAGGCGTCATTGAAGAATTCACATATCTCCGGTCTCAGGAACAATTTTCACATTCTGTAAAGTGATTGTAAACAACGAAACATGTTGCTTTAACCTCATCATCATATTATCGCCTATAAGAATATTGTTTAGGTACAAAAGTCAGACTTTCCAAGCAAGTTTA